CCATGAAGCAAAGTTCTAGTTACCAAGGAAAAAATATAGAGACGACCCCAGTCCTACTTACTCCAGTCAAACCCTACCTTCCTGCAGTTTGTGCCAAATTAATTCATATCAGTGGGTTAATCCACTGATGTCACTATGCCACTTAATCTATTCATTTCACCTCTGAAAATTCTTGCATTGTCTCACACATAAGCTTTTGGGGGACACCTCAGATCTAAACCATAACAAGTATGTTTTGCTGTGCTGGCTTAGTAGTTATGAATTATTTAGTTTCTGCTTATCATGGAATGTTTTATTTCCTTTTCAATTCTGAGAGTTATTGTGACTGGATATAGCAATCTTGGTTTGTACCCATTGTTTTTCAGGACTTGATGTATATTATTCCAAGTCCTTCAGTCTTTTAAAGTCTGAGCTCAGAACAGCAGAAAATCTAAATGATTGACCTCAAGTGTGACCTGCCATTTTTCTCTTATTGTTTTTAAAAGTCTATCCTTTGCTAACACACAAGGGGGGTGGGTAGGAAAGAACAGAAGTACTTTGAATTAGACAGAGTTCCCTTTGAGGGAAGGGAGGAGGATGAGACTAGGAAAGACAGTAGAATGAATTGGACATTACTTTCCTATGTTCATATATGAATATATGACCAGTGTAACTCCACATTGTGTACAACCACAAGAATGAGAAGATATGCACCAAGTATGTATAATATACTGTCATGTTTAAATAAAAAAAAATCAAAAATTTTAAAAGGACACTAAAATTTTTTAAAAATAAAAAGATGATGTAGTTATGAGCTAAAGATAAATTAGCTTTAGGTATTCTGTTTACATAAACACAATGTCTGTGATAAGTGAGTGACAGGTCTGTTTCTTCTGTTTTTGTACATGTCAGTTATTGACCTTCATCACGTATTGCTTTGAATGATGTTGAATATAAATGATGAGTGATGATATTGTAGTACTTTTACTCATCTTAAGGGGCAAGCATTTAGTCTTTTACCACAAAGTAGGATGCTTGTGTTTGTTATCAACACCATTTATCAGGTTGTGACAATTTATTGATATTTCTTGTTTGCTAAGGGATATTTTGTTTTGGTTTGGTTTTGCTTCTGTTTTGTTTTTAATCACAACTGTGTATTAAATATTATCAATTACACTTAATGCAGTAATTCATGTAAAAAAACTCTATCTTTGTTCTGTATAATAGACATTTTTTCTTATAATGTGTCTTGAAGAGTATCTTTTTGATCTTGCCTATATGGGATTCTAAATGTATCTTGTATTTGGATTTTCATCTCATTCCTAAGGTTTGGAGATTTTTCTGATATCATTTCATGGAAAATTTTGTGTATCTCTTTGGTTTATATCTCAGTGTTGTCTTCTACATGAATCTTAATGTAATCTAATATTTCTTCAATATTCTGATCCTGATCTCTTGACTAATTTTCTTTATTGTTGATTTTATTTGCCTGATTATATACTATGTATTCAAGGCCTAAAAAATGTTTTCAGCATGGTCTAATATATTGTTGACTTCTTCCAACAATTTTTAGTTGATTTATTGAGTCTTTCATTTCTAGGATTTCTGTTTGGTTCTTTTTCCTCCACTGTGCTGTCAATGAGACCAGCTGTTAAGGTATTGTGGGCTGTTTGGAGAGACTTGTTACTTTGCTTTGTCCTATTGTTTGTATTTCTACACATCTTTTGGTATGATTATCTCTTTTATTTTTTTACAAGGGACTACTTAGCTAGCTTTTTTCTCTTAACTTCCTCAGGCTGGGTGTACATCTGTTTATTAATATTCTCACTCAAATTAAGAACACATTTCCTATGAAAGTCAAAAAAAAGTGATGCTATCTTCAGGTTTCACTTCTCTCTACACAGTGGGCATCCTTTGTGTGGTCTTTGCAATACCATGTTTTTCACCCTATTGTGCTCTTTGTTAATGATTGTGCCAATTAAAATGACTTCAAACATATCTAAAATGCTACTGATTATCCTTAAACTGAAAAGTCTGTAATGTGTATTACAGAGGAAGAAGGTATTTTAGATAAGCTTTGCTACAGTTATAATGGGGTTGGCTGAGAATTACAGGTTGATGAATGAACAACACAATACACTGGAAAAAGAAAGATGAAATTTGATTATTAGTAGGTAAAAGTATTTTGTAAAATAACATCTATAATGCTATGATGAAACTATGACAATAACTAAATTTGGAATTTCTTGAGATGACAAAAGATTTTTTTCATGAGCATTGTACGAAGGTTGAAAACCAAGGAAACTTATTATTACATCAATCAGGGTCAGGAAATTGTTAAACAGTCCTCCAATAATCATACAATTTATTACCTGTAAATATATACTAAATAAGATTTTAAAACAAGATACACAAAAACAGGCTACATATACATCAATTAACATAAATACTGTGAACATAAACTTAAAGTAACCTATCCCTCTATTTACCCTAGGAGCCTGGCTCAGTACTCACTAACACACTATTTGCAGCAGCAAATGTAGAGAACATAACTGCTGAGAATGCACATTGTTCACTAGGACCTACTTCAATCCTCAAGAGCAGCACTTTAACTCCTCATTTTTTATTTCCTCTTCAGTAATGCCCTTGGGCCATACTTTAGGTATCATCACCATGAGGTGCCTCTCAATCTTTAATGTACCTGTGAATCTTCTAATGGTTTTGTTAAAATAAAAATTGTAATTCAGTAAGTCTGAGATCAGGAACCACAATCTACATTTCTACCAAGCCCCAATGTAATGAATCTGTGGCTTGACCATAAACCACACTGAATATGGAGGACCTTCATCCTTCCATGCTCTTTTAGATTAGAGAATAAATGGAAACAAAGGTCTCATTCTAATAGTTTCCTAACTGAATAACAGAAGTGGTTACAGGCAAAACTGTGTGTAAAAAACTGAGGGTGAAATTGTGACGTATGTAGTCCAGGGGGAGAAATAAGGAATATGCATGCACTTCTGCCCCTGTTCAATGCTTTATTCACTCAAATTACTCAATACAATTTCATTTTATAGGTTCTTAATCAGGAAAATGACAATCCTTAATGCTAGGTACTGTAATAGACATGAACAATCCACAGCAAACAATTCTAGATTAATTCTAAGCACTGCAAACATACTTAGTCATGACAGGCTAGTAACAGACATTCCCTCTGCATGATGAGTTCAGAAGTCTCAAGCCTTAGGCTTTATGTCCAGCAGATGCACACTCCCTCAGACCACAGTGATCATGTCCAGAACCAAGGCAGGCTTTTCCTGGTGTGGAGTGAACAACTGGTTGAAGGGAGGGTCATATGGAGAAGTTGGGGCTCTCACCAAGGTCCAGACGAGGTGGTAGAGTTAGAGAGTGGTGAGGACCACGCAGAGGAAACAATGACAAGTGATGGGTTGTCAGGTCCTCATCAGGCTCCCCAGCTCTAGTGCATCCTTGTTTCAGCTGGATGAATCCCTGCTCATCAGCTCTATTATTTATACTAAATTTTGGGACTTTTGACCCCCTTTCAATCCTTATCAGCTACCACTGGATTTCTCAGTGACATCATTTACTCTGGGGTCAGAAACATCTGGTCTGGTGGTCTGCTCCCTGATCTTCTCACCTTTCCCTCTTATCAGGCGAGGATAGCCTGCCAGGGCTTCACTCTGTTATCAGGGTGGGGGAAGTGAGTTGTTTGAGGCCACACTGTAGGGCTCTGTGGGTGTGCCTGGGGAGACTGCAGGTTTCAAACTGGAGTTTTTAAAATGGAGTTGCTTAGGCTCAGGCCTAAGGCCATCCTCTCACTGTGTTTCTTCTCAGAGGCTCTGAGAAAAAACTGTAGAACTAGGAATCATAAACTGTCCTCCAAGCAAGATTTTTTTTTTAAAGAGAGAGTGAGAGAGGAGGGAGAGAGAGAGAGAGAGAGAGAGAGAGAGAGAGAGAGAGAGAGAGAGAG